TCTGTTAGTCTCAAAGGTGCCACAGGACCCTCTGTTGCTTTTTACAGATTCAGACTAACACGGCTACCCCTCTGATACTTGACTGCATAGAAAAAAGGAATTCTGTGTAGGAGGTGATACCAACAGAAACAGAGATGCACCTTCAAATTGAGTACTCAGGCCTCTCCTCTCAGATTGGCCCAAACAGTAACTCATCTTTGCCTTTGACTGAAAAAGTACAGGAAGCAAAGCTGATTACTGCAAACTCCCTTCTTAAAAGACCAAGGAGCCTGCATCATGGTGTGGTCCTCGCCTGAAATAAAGGAATCAGTTATTCCTAGGATACCCAGTGCCTTACAGCTTGGGCTATTATTGTCCTGTGCTTATAACACTGTGTTATGCGGGTGCATTCCGTTAATGAGAACCTTCAGTGCGTTTGCCAACCCATCCTCTCCCTGCAAGAAGCCAGCTTATCTGATGACCCCGTTTGACACCACTTGCCTCCTTGGAGCTAAGAGTCCCAAATCCAGCAAACTGAGCTATGGCGACAGCAGACAGTCAGGAAGTCAGTACCAATTAAGGCCATTTCAAGGGATCCGGACACATCGACAATGTTTGACATTCAAAAAGCCGCTCTCCTTGGAGCCACCACGCAGCTTCGAGTGCAAGTTTATGGTGTATTTCAAAACCGCACTGGAGCTGTCTAACCCGGCTGGGGAAAAGGTGACCGTAAAAAGCTGAACTCAGAGGCTGCTGCCTGTTTCCTGCAAGCGGGGTGAATCCCCAGCAATGGGAGTGCCCCCGTGCACAGCTCTGACCCTCCCCGCTTCCCCGGGAGCGCAACACCCAGAGGGAAAGCAGCCGCCTCTCTCCAGCAGCGGCATCCCCCAACGCCAGGCTGACTCCCTGGCCCCGACAGCCAGGGTCCCTGCACCGGGCACAACCGCTCAGCCCGCGTGGGGGGCTCTTCAGAGCTGGAGTCACCCGCTCAGCTCGGCGGGGCTGCTGCAGCTCCGGCTCCCTTACCTGTGTAGTTATTCGGGGCATTGCGCCCGTCCTCTCGGGGCCCGCCCGTCCTCGAGACATCCAGCCCGGAGGCGGTGGCCGCTTGCATGGCTGGCGCCCGGGCTGGGGTTGAGCCAGGCGAGCTCTTCCCGCAGGTGCAGGGTTCGCCGCAGCCCCTCGGAGGCGGAACGATTCGCCGCCCAGCAGGACACGCGGCGGCTGCCAGCCCCGCCGCGCTGCTCAGTCCCGAATGCCCCGGGCGCGGCTGGAGAGCGCAGCTGGGCCGGGGTTCGCCCCCTCCCGCCCCCAGCAGACACACTCACTTCTCCTTCCCCAGATTCGCTGCTCTCATTTCCCCTCGCCGCCTGCGAACTGCAGCAGCAGCCCGGCACCGGAGGAGACCCCCCCACCCCCGATCTGCAGAGCTAGCCGCTTGCCCAGACTGGAGGAGAATCGTCTCCTTCCATCCAGCCCCTTTGCGCTCCGGGCTCCCTTGGCAGCCAGAGATTTGCAGGCAGCCAGCTCCCCTGCTGCTGATCTAGCCTGGGCCAGGCGCTACACCGGCTCCTCAGCAGCGGGCACTACAGAGGCTGCGAGCCCCGGCCTGACACTGGGGTTAGAGGGGCTGATAAAGGCAGGCGAGAGCCTGGGAACGCAGCTCCCCAGCGCAGCCCGACCTGCCAGAGAGCCGTGGGCACCCACCCCCGCAGGGGCTTGGACGCCGGCTTGCTCCAAGACGTGGCTCTTTGCCCGTTGATGGCTGGCGGAACTTCCAGCCAGTGCTGTGACGGCAGGAGGGGGCTCCTGGCGATCAGCAGGCGAGGGTGGGACCCCCTCCGCCTTCCTGGATGTCACCCTTAATCCCTGGCCTTGGCGCTGATAACATAATCCCCTCCACGGCTGCCGGGGCCTGGCTGACCGGCTGGAGGAAGCTAAACTGAGCTGGACTGGGCTGAGGCTGCAGGCAAGTGTCATCTGCTTCCCCTGGGATACCCTAGTGATGAGGAGAGGGAAGTCCCAGAGAGCGAGGGCAGATGGTGGCTATATGGCGATTGACATTTCTCGACTCAGGAGGGCGCTTCTCACATCCTCAAAAACAAATGGGAGGTAAAGGGAAGGTGCAGAAAAAGGAGAATGCGGGATCAAGGAACAGAAGCAACACAAAGGTTGTAGCTGTATCTATGCAGGGGTCTTTACTCTGCAGGCAATATTACTGGGTTCGGCTGTCAGCAAGTGTTCCCTTGAGTGGCACCATCCATGCACCCAGTACTGCACTGCTTGACAGCAATGGTCATTACTGAGAGCAATAGAGTTTCAAGGCCCCCCTATACCACTGAGCTGGAGAACTTCAATCTAAACAGATAAGGCGGACAAAGGGTGGGAGGAAGGAAGCACTATTAACATTTTACACATGGGGAACTGAGTTGCAAAGATTAAGTAACTTGTCCCACATTTCTCAAGAAGCCTGTGCAGACCCTAGTCTCCTGAGTTCCAGTCCAGTGCTTTAACCACAAGATCATCTTTCCTAACTTAATGGGACATCAGCCATCTCAATACTACTTACAACAGTGTTACCACAGTGTTTGGGGCCATTGCCGGAGAATATTGGAGGATTTTTAAGGATGCAGCTTGACTCATTATTTCAAAGACCTCTTCAGAAGGAACCAAGATTTCCCATCTGTTCCATACCACGATAGCAATAACCCCTTATTGTGCTGCCGCTACAGACTGTGTCATTGTTTCCACTAGCTCGGTTTTCCTAGTGATTGTAGATCAGACCCTTCATTCCCTAAAGATACTCTCAAATACAAGCTGAAATCAAAACAAGTTTCTGCCTGAGAACAATGATTTTGTTTGCTATATTTTATATATTTAATGTAAGGTTTAAACCTAGCAACCTACAGACGCTTCCAGTGAAGGAAGGATAAGATGCTTGAAGTTATTCTTAGTATAAAGTACCACCCATTAAGACATATTGGCCTAGATTCTCAGCCATACTGAGACTACTTTGTCTCAATCTGCAAGCACAACATGGTTATAAATTCAGCGGGTCCAACAACTGGAAAATTTTCCCATTGCAAGGGGATCCTCATGTGGTGCAGAGCCATCTAATTTGTCTGGCATGGCTTGTTCATTGTAAACAATTCTGCTTCTTGCGCATCATGCCATTATATTCTAGGATCCAGATCTGACACCGTATGTGTCACCATATGGTCACGGAAGTTTGTTCTATTATTTTACTAGGCTACAAAGTTAAACTTATTGGACAGACAGTGCCACAATCACTTTACTTTACAGCTGGATGGGACTTGCCACTGTGCACACCACATTTAATAGGGCACCAACCCATAACATTCACAGCTTTCACATAACACCTACAACTTTCGCTCGCTCGCTCCTTTTTTTTTTTAAATAAAAGATCACAGATGGTTCTTTACTTACATTACTGTCAGTGGACAAGCCTGGGGTTTGGTGATCTCTCTGATTTGCTGACGTTGGCACCAGCAGCTGATCTGGAAACGATGTACTTCAGCGGGTTGTGTTGTTTGGCGAAGCAGACGTAATAGCAGGGACAGAAGGGCGCGTCGGTCGATATTGCTGAGCATATGGCGCTGGGCCCAGCCTAATTGCTGGGGCCATTAACTCTCACTCTGGTGATTTACCGTCTCGTTATTTTTGAGCCAGAGCTTTGTTCCAGAACCACAGTTCATAGCCATGGATTGGAGAGATGAGATCCTACAAAACACCAAACACACAAACAATGTAACAAATTCCACTGCCAAGATTGTTTTGGCAACATATGATGGAGTGAAGTGAAATGGCGACTCAGCCACAGGTATGATATGCCACTGGATATGGACATTCTTCATTGTGAGTCCACAAAGAATACTGCCTGGTATGTCCACATCTATAACCAAAATATGTCTAAAACAAAAAATTCATGTGGGTTAGAATGACAGATCAGACTTTGGGGAAATACTACAGTTTCTGATGCACTGCACTGAAATTCCTTTCCACTCCCTATGGCTACACAACAGAAGCAGAGTACAAACATGCTACGAAAGGCTGGTCCCTTTCTAGATTCTACACAGAATAAAAACATTTGTAATCATCATAATTAGCACTTATGTTACATAGCGACTTCCATCCAGGATCTCAAAGCGCTTCACAAATATTATCTGATTAAACCTCACACTCCCGCTAAGAGGTAGGCCCAGTCAGTATTAACCAAATTTACAGATGGGGAAACTGGGCACAGAGAGGTTAAATTATTTATTCAACTTCAAAGAGGTCACTGGGTAAGCCAAGATTCGGAGACTTTTTTTTTTTAATTGGGCAAACCATTGACTTCTCTGGGAGCTGCAGATGCACAGAAATTCTTTGGATCAGGCCTATAGAGAAGCCCACTGTACCTGGAATAGACTACTCTCCGGACAGCAAAACTAAAGGGATAGTTATCGCCTTTGGGTTCAGTTGTCTGAGTGATTTAGTGAGGTACCGAGTTGTTTGCTAATATTATACAAAATTAAGACTGTTGCAGCTACCAGGGGAAATGCATTTCAAATCCACAAGCAGGTACCTGTAAGAGGAGGCAATGTGCATGTATTGTGTAAGAGGGTCTTTGTGAGTAACATGTTCCGAAACTGACTAAGGGCACGTCTTCACTACCCGCCGGATCGGCGGGTAGTAATCGATCTATTGGGGATCAACTTATCGCGTCTAGTGAAGACGCAATAAAATCGATCCCCGATGGCTCTGCCATCAACTCCGGAACTCCACCGCGGCAAGAGGTGGAAGCGGAGTCGATGGCGGCGCGGCAGCGGTCGACTCGCCGCCGTCCTCACAGCCAGGTAAGTCGACCTAAAATACGCAACTTCAGCTACGCTATTCATGTAGCTGAAGTTGCGTATCTTAGGTCGCCCCCCTTCCCCCCCCCCGTAGTGTAGACCTAGCCTAATAGTATTATATGCAGTATTGTTGAAGCTTTGTTGAGTCCAGCATATGAGAGAGACAAGATGGGTGAAGTAATATCTTTTATTGGACCAACTTCTGAAGAAGAGCTCTATGGAGCTTGAGCGATAGTCCCTTTCACCAGCAGTAGTTGGTCCGATAAAAGATATTACCTCATCCTTGTCTCTCTAATAATACTGTACACATTTGAGTCAAGCTTCAGGGCAGTGATTGCTTCTTAACATGTATTTGTAAAACAGAGTCCCAGTCTTGATGGAGTCCTCTTGGTGTTACCAATAAATAACATTAGGAGCTGGGTGAAACCTTGTTATGGATTGAGTTAAAACCTTATTGAGATTGATGGGTGTGAACACACACTTCAATTAACATAAATGTGTGGGCAAATTAATCACAATCCCCTACCTAAAACAAAAAGGTTTATGTGACACACTCAAGAATTTTGGACTATGTGGGCAGAGGGGATTTGTGCTGATTATTGTTTTGAGAGAGAGGCAGAGAGTGTGTGTGTATATGTGTGTATATATATATAAAACACAAAACCAGAGACAGACAGACAGACAGCCTGAAGAAATCCAAGCAAATGCTTGCAAGCACCGTTTGACCCTGAAAGAAACCTAGAGAGAAGTTCTGGATGCTGGCTGAAAAGAAGCTTGGTCCTGTAAGCTGAGGGCTGGTCTATGCTTAAATTTTAGATCAACATAGCTAGGGTGCTCAGGTCATGAAAAATCTACATCCCGACCAATGCAATTATGCTGACCTAACCCCTGGTGCAGATGCAGCTCTATCGACAGAAGAATGCTTCTGTCGACCCAACTACCATCGCTTGGGGAGGTGGTATTCCTACAGCAATGGAAAAACGCCTTCCGTCATTGTAGGCTGTGTTTATGCTACAGCGTTATGCCAGCACAGCTAGGGCACCCACTATAGTCCGTGTAGCATAGACATGGCCTACCCCTTTTGCCTTGGGTTCCTCCTGCATTCAGAGAAGCAGGACTTTGTACATTCCTTGTAAAGAAAGAAGATTGCATCAAAGATATCACCAGATTTTTCATCTATTTCTACTCCCATATAGAGCATCCCCAGGGCTCCAAACTTCAATTAGCCACTCAGGTCAAAGAGGGTTAACAACAGGCGAGTGGATTAGATCTGGGTGAAATTTTTCAGCCAAAACTATTTTTGGTGGGAAAAAATGACACTGAGATGTTTTGCAAAATTTGTGTTGGTTTCACCAATTGTTTCAGATGAAAGGAAAAAAACCTGAAAAAAAATTAGAAATATTTCCTTTTGACATTTTCAAAACAAAACATTTTGATTTTTCAGCTCATCACTTTTCATTTTGAAATTCCCTTCAGTTTTATTAAAAAACAATTTAAAACGTTTTTTAAAAGGCTCAAAATCAAAGTGAAACATTTCATTTCAAACAAAACATTTCGTTCAAACTGAAATTATTTCCCTCACCTTTTGTTTTGCTGAACATTCTGAAAAAAAATCATTTTTGATTGGACTTAAAACAATTTTTTTTCAAAATAGCCAGTGAACTGAAAATTCTGTTGTTTGCACAGCTAGATAGCCACCTTCCTGGCTATTGCACAATTTTATATCAGAGTGAAAGAGAAAACATGTGACAAACAGGAGCCAAAATTAGATGAATCACTATAGAGCAGAAAAACAAAGGCTTTACCACAATCAGGAACCTAAACACCACATACCTCATATGTCCCACCACCGTCTAGTGTCAAAATGCAATAATGTGAACAGGTCAGAAGTTACTTCCACTAAAGCCTTCGGTTCATCTTATGTTTCACCAAACTATACAGTGAAAATAAACAAGTCATTCTTTAATATTCTTTGAATATATTTTTAAATGACAGTTTCTTTCAAACCACAGGCCTCTGTTAATAAAAGAGAATATATTGCATGTACGTCTTTACTGAAAGTCTTCATCATTAGGAGTTGACACAGTTTGCTGTTAAAATAGGAATATGTATGTTTAGAGAAATGACGA